CTAAGCCAACTTGGATAAAAAGTTTCAAAACCCACCCATCCCAGCCAGGAACATATGAAACCTTCTGGGAAGAATCAAAGAGCTGGATGAGGCAATCAACTTTATTTAGAAAACTGATGTTAACCTTTTAACAGCTCTAAGGGACTTAGAAAAATACAACCCAAAACCAAAACCATATACCCACTCCTTGCTACTTCCTTGGTTAGCAACCATTTCGGAATACGACGGTAATAAACAATTTATTTTCCAATCAATGCACCCATTTATGACCGAAGTTCATGTGCTTAACAAGAACACACACTAGAGTGAGAGAGTAACTTTGGCATAGCTTTACAAGAGAATATCTAAATGAGACAGCAGTCTCTTTCTCTCCTCCTCCTAGTCATGCGTTCATTTACCAAGCAAGTAACCTGGCCATTGAAATGGAACTTGAGTTATTAAATGAATGAAATAAAATAAATGAAATGTATTTTAAAAAATGAAGGACATAAAGCCTTAACACTAAAATAATTGTATAACATTAAAACAATTTAAAAAGAGAATTTGGCAATACTATAATTAATAAAATGGGAGGAACGATGTTGTTTGTAATGGCTAGTTCTTATTCTCACAGACCGTACATTGTTATTCACTTGTTGAAGCAAAATTTCTAGCTACAAATTTCAAATTCAGTCTTCTCCCTCTACTATTTCATGTCATTCTCCTTAAGCCCAATCTACCTTACATGACTGTGTGGAAAGGAAGCTTTATGTTTGCTGCCTTGAGGTCTTCTCTGTAACTATAATGGCATGTGTCAAATGACCTTGGGAGACAGGTGGAAGAACCACAGACAAGACGTCAGTCAGAGAAGTGGCAGCTCAGCCTGTAGAATGTGGCTGTGGTAAACATCTCAGGGGAAAAAATCTTTCCTAGTTTCTTGAACTGTAAAGGTGACAGAAGGAGGAGACAGACAGGAGGAGATATACTTTCAGATTCACAAGATTTTGTTAATGGAACTTCACAATAAAATTAGAGCTAGAACTTCTGGGTGTGCTTCTTGTCTGGACTATCTCACAAGGCTGACAGGAACTCTTTAAAACAGCTGCCATGGGAGAACCCTGGGAAAAGGCATGGTTATATTAAAGAATGGCACACAAGAGTTTAATTCGTGCCACTATGTGCATTCCAAGGAATCTTTTGGGAATCAAATCCAAGCAGTGCTTCAGAGCCCTACTACTGATTCGTATTTACTTAATAACCCACTCTCTAATTCCACAATCATTTTCAGGCAATGTTGTTTGCTTCCCAAATGAAAAATTTCACATTTGTCTCCTCTTATATTTCATATTGCTGTTTTCAGCACCTTTCTTTAACCAGATGAGTTCAGAAGGCATGACATTTTTCTCAAAGTGAACAAAAAAAACCCTCATGCTGTCCCACTTTCATCCCTGTCACACTTGCATAAGATGTCACAATGCAAAGAAGTTTGTGCCCGCAACAGTGCAACACCCTCCTCCTTGAATTCCTTGAAGATACCGCCCCCAAAACCAATCAAGTTTTCCCTCAAAATACATTCCTGATCCTTACGTTCTTTCTGCAACCGATCACTAAGTAGTTTTTAAACATTCTTTATCTCTAGTGTAAATGATCTTTCTAGGCTATGAACATGTCACCTATGTAGGTAATGTAGATTACTATACAATGTGGCAAATATAACCTATCATCACCATCCTTACCCTTGTTAGAACTGGTGAATCAATTCTGACAAACAGAATAATAAACACTTATTAGACCAACTATATGCAATAATTTATCATTTTAATTATGATTGAGAAAAGTGTAGCTGATTCTCCACTATCATCACTTTCATACTGCCTGTAATCTCTTTTAAATAAAATTCTGACATGTTTTCTTCCTCTCCATGCTGCTAACATATTAATTAGAGTTTTGCACCTGGTGCCTTGCATGGGCCTATGAGAATATAACTGTTGATTGATTCTTCTCTCTCCTTTCTCCTCGCCCCATTTGCTTTTTAAAAAAATATATTTTGATTTATAAAAGAAAAAAAATAAGGACATAGAAATATTAAGGGATTCTGTTTCCCCTCTTCTACCTTGTTCAGCATTCTGGTTTTGATTGATTGGTAAATTTGTAATTACTAATTTTCTAACCAAACATTTTAAAATATTATTTCTGTTAATCAGCTTTCTTATCAGTTTCACAAAAAAAAAGAAAACAAGCAAACCCCACACAGATCTAATGTGAATACATGCAGCATATTTATACTTACATTTTCAGCTTTCCACTTGGTTTTGGCCACAACAGTTCACAGCTCACAGCCGTGAATTGTAGAAGCTGTTCTTTATTTTAAAAAGCAGCCTAGGGATTCAGTGTTCAGAAATACTACAGGGAAAAGCAATCCCAAACATGCACATAATAATATAGCACAGTGTGAACTCAATACAAGACGAATTACAGTGTTATCCTGTTTTCAAATGACAGTCACTGAGTTCAGGCTAAGTTTGCTATTAGATTCCTTTTGCTGGCAAAACAAAAAACACACCAACACATCATGTGCATGACTTAATGTAACTTTTTTGTGGCTTTATACAATACTGATATAATTGTTAAGACTTGTTGTGTATATTAGCATAAATGTAAAAATGAATAAAGTTGAAGATTTTGTACATAAATATCAAGTAGTTAACAGGACAGGACAGTAGCTGAGCAACTGACATGGCATCACATGACCATGGAGACAGGTGACTATTGAAACTTCAGAACCAGGTTGTAAATACCTTTATGGGCCACTGCTATAGCTTCAACTGATTGTTGAGCAATCAACCAAAAGTCAAGGACTATCTGTACACATATTTACTTAATCATGGATGCATTTATTAAAATATCTTATCAGACAGCCAGTAAGGAAACATAAATAATCAGCATACCACATTATTCCTGAAAGAATCACTGTGTAATCTGGATAAACTCATACTATACTGGAAAGTATAATAGTCACACAAGTGTGCTTTGCTTTTAGGCAAAGTCTAAAAGGTCTTTAATTTAAATAACTAGAGGAACATGACAGCATATATAGTAGTAGATCAGGAGCAAAAAGTACCATTCTACAAACACATCTTACTACATTAATGAGGTTTTTAAAATATTACACTGTAGAAATAAATAATGTTATAAAGTACTTATAAATATCTCTGGTTAATCAACTAAAATCTACAAATGTTATATTTAATCATTATGTGGATTAAAAGTAATAATAACAACACTTTTTATTGGGGAAAAAAAGTTTCCAGAAATTGATGCATCTTCGTTACCTCAAATAAACCTGAAGATTTTTTTTTTAATTACAACTTACAATCATGTGCACCTACCTGAACATAAGTACTACTGTGTTATTAGGAATTATTCCTGAGTAGACACATATAGGTTTGTATTGTGGTGTAGGTATCATACAGAAGTACAATAGAACATCTTAAGGTACCACCATTAGCATCAGGCTGTTTCTGGTGACTGTATGCTTGCTGTCTCCATCTGTCCTTGGCAGGAAATTTGAGCTCTTTCAGAGACATTCCAATTATCTTTTTGCTGTCCTCCATTTCCCATTGCCATATGATAGTTTTTTGCGAATTCCCCATATACTTCCATCACTTCTCCAAAGTATTTTAGGTTTCTGTTTGCTAATCATTGTCTCAAGTATTAGTGCATTTCTTCCAGGATCAGTTCATTGGCTCTTTTTGCACCATGCAAAACTTTGTAACCGAATCCTGACAGAATATTCTTTCTCAAGTGGAAAAATACTATTTGATCTATTTTAATTTTAGTTGCCATAAATCATTTTTGCTTATCAGCTTGCCTATTCTTGCCATTGAATTCTTTCCTAAAATTAATTCCATTACTATTCCAGAGTTGTGACTCCAAGAAAACTATGATCTTCTCTTTATCATAAACTGTAAAATAATTAAGGATGAATGCTTGCCTTTGGTTTTTTTAATATTTAATGCATATTGTGTAATTTTCATTGAACAGATCCAGAATCAAGCATATTTAAGGGTAAGCAAAAAAAAAAACTTTTTCTAGAAAAAAATCATTTCAAAAGTTTACTATTCATATCCACATCTAAAGTACTTGGCTGGAATTTATTCTGATTGGTTCTGATTCCAATTATCTGGGATCAATTTTTTGATGCAACAATAATCCCTTTAGTAACCATTACTTAAAAAAAAAAAAAATCTCAGCAAGCCACATACACACTTCTATGTAATGCTGTTATAGTTGTTTTTTTTAATCAATCATAACACTCTTTGCAAGTTCACAGCAACAGAATATTAAAATCCTGAACAAACCACACATTTCAGTAAGTTTCCTAGATGAACAGCTACGATAGTATTTGGAGCAAATATGAACAAAAAAGCTAAGAAATTTAAGAAGCCTCAAGCCTCCTTACTACATTTTCAAAATACACAGGTTGTCATAAACCTCTTATGTCAACCGAATAACATGCTCCCTATACCTTTTCGCTTTATTTCGCAAATAACAAACAATCGTAAAAAAAATCTGCCATGCGCAGTTTAGTAAGAATTGTGTTTTTATAAATTCAGCTAAACGACGACTAACAAATCTCCAACTTCAGCTTAAGTTGGAGCTCAACCTCTCGCCTCAAAACAGCAGCTTTGTATTCTCCCACGTGACTTATCCGATCAAATAAAAAATGCCGTCTCAGAGCGCGCGATGACATCATTGTTATTGTGAGAGAGGCGGAGTCTCGAGACCAGCATAGTAGTACAACCGTAAGGACACCATGGGGAAGGAACGGCTCTAATTTCTACCATAGAGTTATCGCGGGCTAGCACGACTTCTCATTCTACGGGCCATAGCGACTACCGGCGCTTTCCTGCCATTATCGGATGTTGAATGGCTATGCTTCCCTTTCCCGCGTCTTTTCTCCGAGAGCATGCTGGGAAACGTTATTAAAGAAACCCACCTTCCGTTTCATTGGTCTTTCCTGTGCGGAGCTCAGCAAGGTGGTGAGTCTCGGCGGGAGCTGTTAGGGAGAAAGCAAATAAGCAGCGTCGGTTGGTTTTATTTAATTCTAAAATAATAATAATAATATGTTAGATTTTGTGAACACGGAAAGCTAAAACAACACCTTAGTCATAGCTATGGTAGGGTGGAAAAGATTTTTTTAAAAAATTTTTAAATGAGATCAATTAAAATTTGCGCTTCTGCAGAAAAAGAAATAGCGATGACCAAAATATTGGATTTTCAGGACGATTTCAAAGATTCAGCCTAAATTTGGAGCAGTGTACTTTTGTACACACATTTTTATATCTTTTTTTCCCAAACCTAAACATGTACAATATTCCTGCGTTTCTACTGCTTTGAGAAAAGCTGGGGTATATTAATATTTGGGCAGCTTCTTTTGAACGCTGCAAATAATAATACAGTCATAATATGTACCATAAATATGGATAGAATTAATCTTACTATGCTGAAGCTCTTATAGCAAGAAATTATTTGTGACCGAGACTAGAGTCACATCTAGATGCCATCAGTCGTCATGGTGTGCTATAGTCCTCGAAGAATAATGACTGACCTTTATTCACTGACTCTGTGATTCATTAGCAGACTCAGCTGCCAGGTTGGTAACAGGTATGAATTACAACGAAGTTTCACTGTATTGCTGGAGATAGATAACTTGTGACATGGTAGTTCTGATGAATGTAACATACACAGGGACAGACCTATTTTGCTTTATAAAAGAAACAAATTCTCCAACAAGGGAATAACTACTTCAGTTATGTTATTTGGAAAAAATTATAAAAGCAATTGCTTGGTAGTGAGATAACTCAATTATGTTCCAAAATGGGTTTGACTCATACCTGAAATTGTGCCCCAAAACATGGATAGTTAGTTGATTATTGTATTCTGTAAGTTATAAAAAAATATTTCAGATGTTTTCAAATAAACATTGATTTTGATTTTTCCCCTTTGATATATTTTTAAACTTACTGTAGTGAGCAAATTTTAAAATTCTCTATCAGTGAGTTGGGATTTGCCTAATTCTATGTCTGTGTAGAATTCTCCATAGAATTACAGAATCTAGATTGTCCTATGTATTTCTGTAGATATTAGCATATTAGATTTGATGCATTGTTTGGCAAACAGTAAGTGAAATCTTCTGACTGCAACACCTTTCCATTGCGATATATTTTTCTGTGCTATGATTCCTGTAGGAAGGCTACTAATCTTAATTCATTGCTTATGCACACCTTTTGGCCACCCTGCCATTAGCCCTCAACATCACCAGGGTTGGGGCTGAAGTAAGAGGCCCAGAGCCTTCAGCAGCTTCATCCAGCGCCACTACTTTCACTGAGAAATGCCACCCAACTCCCCACACTCCAGCCAACCACACTAGCATCATTGTGCAAAACCCCAGTTGCCATGCCACTATGTTCTCCAGACGTTCTGGATGCCTAGTTTTACCTTCCCATTAACCCAACCATTTTTCTCCCGCCTGCTTATGAGGCATGCCCTATTTGGAGAAAGACTGGACCATGTGACTTGGGAGAAGTAGCCTCAGGAAGAACTGGTGCAGCCAGTAGATGTAAAAGATGTTTACTATTTTGGTAATTGAGAGGCCTGCATTGCTATAAACTGGTAGACACAACAAGCCTGATTAAATAATGGTAAATTGATATAGATTGAATACTGACTTTTGAATTTTTTTTTTCAGGATTACTACAGAATTGGTGGAAAGAAGAAGGTGCTTTAGTAATTGACTACAGAATTCATCTGCAACTGACAAATTGATGTACAGTATTTCAAAGTTTTATATTTCAATAAAAATACTTTAAACACTGAAGCTGATTGATTTCTGCTTAATTATTTGGACATTAGATTTTGAGGGGTGAAATGAAATTTCCATGTTCTACAATTTCAGTTGGCAATATCCTGTTTTATTTATATAATAAGATGGTGTGACTTATGAAGACATTATTTTTTATTTTATTTATTATGGAGAACCAGTTTGGTTTGCAGTTAAGGCATCAACTATGTGACCATGAGTTCTAGTATCGCTTTAAGCACAAAGCAAACTCGTGCCCTTGGACCATTTTCTTTATCTCAGTTCTAGAAGGAAGGCAGTGAGGAATGGATAGAAGAAACTGCAAGGTTCAAAGCTTGTAAAAATATTTTTAAAAGTTTCAGGTGGGAAAAAACACTGCAAGGTTCAACTCTAGGTTTTTAGTCTTCATTGTTAATTTCAATGGTAATGAGATGAAATATTTATCAAAGATGCAGATTACATATGAGTAAAATAGATAATACTCTAGAAGAAAAAAATCAAAATTCTAAATTAGATGTCTGGGTTGAAAGTAACTTATTGCTGAACATGAAAACAGCCCTGCAGTCAAATCAAAGGTTTTCTTAGTTCACCATTTTCTGATGGACAGCCATTTGCCTCTAGAGTGGTAAAAATACATGATAACACATGACTCTTTCTCACAATGGTTCCCCTAAAGTTACTATTTGGAAGTGTGCTACCCTGAGTTTAGAGCAGTGATGGCAAACCTTTTTTAGCTGGTGTGCCAAAAGTGGGGGAAGCACAGGGGGGTTGTGTGCAGGAGTGCCACACCCATAATGCAATGCATGACCCCCAGCGCACATGCACACGATAGGCACTTCCCCCTCATTTTTGCATTTTTTGCCCTCCAGGCTCCAGAGGCTTTATAGGAGCTTGGGGAGAGGGAAACCCCCCCCCCCTCGGAGGCCCTCCATTGGGTTCCCTGAAAGCCTTCAGAGTGCAAAAAACCAGCTCTACGGGCAAACCAGAAGTTCTAGAACAAACTTCCGGTTTGCTCGTAGAGCCAGTTTAAGCTCTCGGGAGGCTTCCCTGCAGGCTCCGGAGGACGAAAAATGACTACGAGCAAACCGGAAGTCACTTCCAGTTTGTAGGGCCATTTTTAGTCCTCAGGAGACTTCCCTGAAGGCTCCGGAGGGCTTAAACTGGCCCTTGGAGCACACCGGAAGTCCGTTCCCGAACTTCTGGTTTGCCCATAGGGCCATTTTTTTGCACTCTGAAGGCTTTCAGGGAAGCTCCTGAAGCCTACTGTGGGGCAGGGGAGGCTGTTTTCGCCCTCTCCAGGCTCCTATAAAGCCTCTGGAGCCTGGGGAGGGAGAAAAATGGCCTCAAAAAAAGGTGTGCTGGCCAGCTGACAAGGTAACACCTTGTGTGCCCTGACAAATGGCTCCACATGCCATAGTTTTCCATCCCGGATCTAGAGTGTGTCTTCAAGACTAATAGCCCTTGGTGTACATGCTTTTCATGAATGTACTTCATTGTCTTACAACATGTAATAATGAATTTCCTAAATTAGGACAATGCTATGAGCTCTAAGCTTATAAGCAGTATCCTGAATGACAGGGAGCAGGCTTCCTATAATGTCAGCTGATCTTACCATCCTCTGTATGGACATTCTATCTGAGACACTGCTACTGCCAAACCAGTGATGCAGTTTGTTAAAATGCTCTCAATTGTGCCTCTGTAAAAAGCGGCCAGGATAGGAGAAAGGTGCTCTCCTTATCCGATGCAGGAAATGCAGATACTGGTTTGCATGCTTCACTAAGGATGACATGTGGAGAGACACCTGTTCAGGTGTTAGTTATCTGCACTGCTTCACAGTGCACAGTCAGCATATTGCACCCCAAAAATCTGGGTCCTCATTTTACCAACCTCGGAAGGATGGAAGGCTGAGTCAATTTTGAGCCTGATGTTCTACCATCTTGATTAGTATGGGGTTACTTGGCTTGGCAATAGTATCTATACAAAAATCCTAAAATTGTAGCTAATCGGAAGTCAGTAATGTAATAGTCCAACTGCAGAAAGGCAAGCTTTTTCTTCCATCATTTTAAAATTATAGAAAATTAATTGCCTTTTATATTCTGCATTGGTCAGCTCATCGGCTGTAGTATTTACATTTTGGGCACATCACACTGGGTCCATATCACTAGTAGCCTGGTTGTATTTTCCTAATGGCCTGTCAACAGTTAGCAACTGGGTCAAATCATTATTTTGGGGCATAATACGCAACCCCTTTGTGCAGAAAATGGTTATTTCCCACGCCATTGTTTTTGTTTCTTAATCTGGTACAGATCAGACAGAGTGCATTTATATTTTTTCAAAACTTGTTATAACAAATTCCTATTCCTTTTTAGTAATTCTATGCTTATTTCTAGTTTTCTGTCTTAATCTACAATCTTCCTATTACTATAAATGTACAACTATTTCTGCTCTACATCAACATTCCTGTTTGTAGCCCTATCTTAACTTTTTCAGTCTTTCCTTTTCTCCCCATCACCAAGTCTTCAGTTCTTGCAATAGCCAATCTCAGTCTATTTGAAAATGTTTGGGGGGGGGGGAGATGTTATTTTGCTCTTCTGGACTTGTGAATAGTTTTTTTTTTTTGTTCCACTTCCAATTATCCATTGTTATTTAGTCTGAACAGTATATGTTTTGTGGCAGTAGGGGACACCCCAACTTATATTAAACCCTACATTGACAGTGTCAGGTAGGATGAAATCTAGCCTTTGGGGAAAAAGCTGAAAAAAATATTATGAATGCAAAATTGCAGCCAAGGCATCAAATGTCTTGACAGTGGTCCAGCTGTAGCCACCTTGATTCTGTCTAGAGAAGCAGCTAGTGGTGTGTGCAAGAATGAACACTCCCAGTGAGTGAGCAGACATTTCTCTTCTGGGATTGGATTTTGGTGATGCATGGGAAGTAGTTAAAATAACATATCTTCCTTAATTGGAGACCTCTCATAAAATGGAACAAAGCAAGAAAGGAGTCAAGCACAGATGACAGAAAAATGGGAAAGAACACAAAGGCAACATCTCAGCGGCAGACTTTTACAGTAAAAGAATTGCAAGACTAGCAGAGAGCTCTGAGTGGGAAGTCTCAAATCAGCCTGCATGCCTAGTGTGCAGTAACTCAAGCAGAATTCATAAATCTGTTCCTGAAAGGGTGGTGGTGGTGGTGGAAGAGAATCCCATGTTAAAGGACTGTGGTAATTGTTTATTTTATTGAGAAAAGTGTTGTGATGCAAATACATTTAAGTTCTAGGGACAATATATAAATGACTGGCCAATTTTGTATTATCCCATAATACAAGATAATTAACATGGAATATTCTCCTTTAAGGACTGGAAAAATGTCATAATTATATAGGAATCAGCAGGGGAGTTGGTTTCCTAGTTCCTCAATGAGAACTCAAATCTGGACATTGGATTGGTGGCCTAAATGTAATCTTCCAGCTCTACGATTCCTCTCAAAAGCAACTTTCTAGTATAAATATAAATGTGAGAATATTCTGATGAAAAATCATTCCAACATTTGAAATAGTTTATTCATGCCTGTGATTTGAGTTTGCATACATATATAAACTTTTATGCCACTAGAACACAGGCTCCTCCAACTTCCTTGATTTTCTCTTCTGCTCTTCGGCTGAAGAATTTTGCTTTCACGATGACAGGCTGCTTGGGTAGCTTTCCTTTGCCCAGGACTTTGTAATATCCCTGGAAAATATCAAAACACAAGCTTTCAGTTAACATGTAGTCTCTTGAAGACATTACTCATAGTGTCAATAAAATAAATGGAAAGGTGTTTTTAAAATATTGTGTATCACAATATTCTGATAATTGATGCCTTTATGGATTTACTGGAGGGGAAAAGTATTGATCAGCAATCTTTTTAGCTGTGTATACAATTTACTGGAAGGTTGGCATTCCAAGGCCAAAGCACTACATGACAGGATAAGCTCCCACCTTGCCCCAGCTCCTGTCCACCTATCAGTTTGAAAGCAAGCAAATGAAGTAGATAAATAGGTGCTATTTCAATGGGAAGATAGCAGCATTCTGTGCACCACGGCATATAGTCATGGACCATGGAATAGTCTTTGACAATGCGCTTCCCCCTAGATTTGGAGACAATTTGACAAGGGACACCTTTATCTTTTATAGAATAATTCTATTTGAACAAGAGTGTACTGTATCTCATTTTACCCAGTTTCATTTTAGCTGAAAATGACTATTATAGCCCCAAGTTTGAAGTATCTTCATCAAAATCTTGAAAGATGATTACATTTTAATTTGTAAAATCATATAACCTCTAAAATAAAACTGAGATGTTTGGATCTGGAGGGACTTCACCTAAATCAAGACTGAGTGGCTGTGATTATTTGTCACACACACACACACACCAACATGCTGGGGATGTTTTTATCACTGGTATTTGATAAGGTTACTCTTCTCCATTTAAGACTGATGAATAACTTGAGTGGTCCTTTTGGATTCACAGCTATTGCTTCATGGCAGCTGTAGCCAGAAGATCCTTTACATTAGATTACCTTGTGCCCTGGATGTACACTTCCCTCAACCAGCAGGCCCTTCAGTCAGTCACATATGCCTTTGTCAGTTCACAAGAGGAGTATTACAATGTGTTCTATGTGGGGCTGCCCTCAAAGACCACCCAAAACCAAAGGCTGGTTCAAAATGCAGATGCATGAGCAGTAATGTCATCATTGCTATTTGAGCTTCATTGGCTGCCACATGGATCTGGGTGCAATTTATGGTTGTTACCTATGAATCCATTCATAACACAGGGCCTGTTATCTGAGGGCCTGTTATCTGAGGGACTGCTTACCTATAGCCCACTCGGTACATTTGGGTAGAGCAAGTGCATTCAAGATCTCCTCTATTAAATATTGTCATCTCTTGTGGGACAACTATGTTTTCTCTGTTGCTGCTTCACCCTCCAGAATATCCCCCAAAAGATACACCCGGTGCTCACTCTCCTGGCTATGGAAGACCTTTAAGAACTGGTTCTGTTCCAAGGCCTGGGATGTGTGTGTATGGTAGGGGGAGTGTCATATTGCTTTGTTTTTAGTTCAGGCTATTACATTTTATTTTGAATTGTATATTTTAATGTTGTAAGCTGCTCATTTACTGGAATGGGCAAACATCATAAATAAGAATTTTCAAAAAACAGATAACACCACTTACAGAGCGTACAACATCAATAACTGGAGCGAGTCCTGCTGGATTTTTAGCATAATTCAGCCTTGTCTGCTCACTAACAAGCGTCCACAGCTTATCCAGATTCACTGTCGGGCAGAAGTGCTGGTTCTTTTTCAAGTGGTAATGTCTCATACCAACCTTTCCAAAATAACCAGGGTGGCTAGGAAAAAAAAATACATGTAAGTAAATTTACTGGCCAATGCATTATGGTTCTGACTGGTAACCTTAACTAGAAAATACAAAAGATATCCATCCATCCAATTCAGGGGTGTCAAACTTGCATCATTATGGCAGCATTACGTGATGTATCCTTTTTCCTTTGCTAAACTGGGTGTGGGCATGGCCAGCGTGTGACACACAAAAGGAATGCCTTTTGTCTTCAGTTCATGATTTAACGTCATAATAAAGCTTCTAGATCTTCAATACATAAGATCTAATTAATTATATTAATATGGTTATTACAAACTTATTTCCTGTACTCAATGCTAGTCCCCTTCATCTACTATGCTTAGATGCCATTTGCACTTCCAAGCAGAAATACCAGGATCTATCAATGGCAAGGTATAAAAATGTTTTTGTAAGAGAGAAGAACAATGACTAGTTACATCATTTTGTTTTAGAAAACATGCAGTTTCTTAACCAGTCAGAGCCTTCTGTTGCTAACCTGGTGGCTGACTGTGTTGGGAAAGAGACAGTCAGTGAATAAAGGTTAGTTGTTACTCTCTGAGTACAATAGCACACCCTGATCACTGGCAGTACCAAGATGTGACTCTAGTCTCAGTTATTTGTAAGTTACTTCTGAAAATGATTATAAATGACAATTGCAATTCTAAACATTTTATTAAAAGAGTTTTAGATGTGTTGAACTGGGCAATTTCCATCACCTGACCAGAAAACTCAAATAGTGGGTAAATATCATAGCACTGTGTACAGCTTTATTTCAGTAAATAGGTAACAAAATGTATCCAGGATATGAAAACTGACCTTGGTTCATAACATAGATCTGCTCTTTGTATTACACAAAACTAAAATACAGAAGGCAGTTGTGAGATAAAGAAAAAATAGCTTACTATTTGTCAAAGTTAATTCTATGGTGGTGCATACCGCCAGCATTTCCACGGCCTCCTGGATGTTTCCTGTGCTTGCCTATGACAAACAACAAACACTATTAATTGGAATTTAGTCTTAAAAAGCTACTCAGTCTAGAATACTACCTTAATTGGTTAATTTTAGCAGTCTTTAACGCAGGGATGTCCAACCTTGGCAATTTTTAAGACTTCCCATGCTGGCTGTGGAATTCTGGAAATTGAAGTCTACAAGCCTTAAAAGTTGCCAAGATTGGACACACATTTGTTTTAATGTAATAATTATTCTTTAACTTTCATTCTAATAAATGATGAGGATACTTTGAATCTGCAGATAACAAAGCAATCATTGTCACAGATGTGAAGACTTGGAATATCTAGACAGAACTGTTTTTGTGTCTTGCCTTTGAGACTAATTATTAATCCTTCTTCAGAGAAGATAGTACAAACACAAGATATGTTACATGCAGATGTTATGTAAGCCAATGTACATCAATAGTCAAATCCAACATGAATCTTGGAAGCCAAAGATGGAAGTTTGTGGCCTTTTCGAAGTTACAGTGTTGTGAGTATAGAATATAGATGCTTAATTCTACCAATTCAACAGCATCTAGAAAATGAAATTTCTCAATTCTGATCTAGATAATGTTGCCATCTTCACTAAGAGAAGCTTGTGAATTATCCCTTGCTTTTTGGTAACCTCTGCTCTAATTTTCATATGCTAAAAGCAAGTATCATATATCTGCTGTTCATGATGTGTATATAAAACTGCAGCAGCAAATTTATTTACCTAATTATACTGCATCAATTGCACTAATTTGCACAGCATTTTCAGGACTGCAGCCCAAAACAATCTTCTGATGTCATCTAGTAAGACTTATTACTTGACTTTTGAGTAAATATCTTCATGATTAAAAATGTCTCTCCACTAAATAGGGCATTACGGACAAAATCAGACAATGCTACTACTGCAATAAAAGTATTATAAGATAGAAGCCGGAACATTCATCTCAATAATTTTAAACACAACTCTCACGACAATACATTCTGAACACAAATGAAATATCCTACCTCATCAGAAGCAAAACAAGGTGCAAATCTCCTTTTTCAAAGAAAGAAATCAAGGATCTACCATGATCTATATTTTGAGTTTCTTTCCAACCTAACAGATGATATGGAAGGATCTAATGGGGCCTTCCATATTTTTCACAAATTTTCTGCAGGATTTCCAATTTCATAGCATGAGGGGGAAAATCTGTATTTTCAAAATTTCCAAAACTTTTATATTACTATGCTTACCAATACGTCCATGGCCGTGACTGACGTGCCCCCTTAGTTTCCTTGTCTTCCTCAGTCTGGAAGGCTTAAAAATATAAAAAACAAATTTGGTTATAATGCATCCTATTTTTTGAAATTCTTTCCCCTTTACTTCGCCCATCTCTGCAGGTTTCCTACAATCTCTACTTTATACAAAGAAACAAGATGTTTGCATTGGGTCTGCTTCACTGATTATTTAGGTTTGTCTGTCTAAATGTATAGAGGAAAAACCAGATGAAAGTTGTTTTATTGGTGGCAGAGACGACTCTCCGATCATTTTCCTTCAGGTTATGGTGGGCTTCGATCCAACCCCAACAAATAATTAAACCCAAACCCCACAAAATTAAAACTGGGCCGGGTCGACGTCTTCTTGTCGCTCCCGTCCTTCCACGAAAATAAAACGACGGTTGCCTCCCCCCCTCCCAGCCCAGCCCTCCGCCGGGGAAGTCTCCCGCCCTCAGGGCAACCTCTCCTCAGAATATGGAAAGGCATACAGCCAAAGGCCTAGGCAGCCCCGGCAAAAGCAGTAAGCGAAACCCGCGCGGCGTCTCCTTATCCCTAAAAAAAGGCCCCAGAAACCTTCGAGCCCGAGACTAACCACGTTGCTCCCAACCTACCATCTTGCTCGATCGACGACAAAAAGAACGAAGGAAGTTGGAAAGCAACTTCTCGCGAGATTTCGTGTCCCCTTCCCGGAAAAGTTATCGCGATCTCTTGAGGAGAGGTGAGCGAGAGAGAGAGAGAGAGAGAAAAGGTCTCTCAAGTGCTCCCGTTTCCGCTTCCGGTTTCTCCGAAATGGGGCTTTCTTTAAACTTGGTAGCAATTTAGGAATTTTGAAAGAATAGGGTTGCGTGAGAGGATTTTTTTTTTCCGTTTCGCTTTCGAGTCCTACCCCGTTTTCCTTCCTGGTTTTTTTAAAATAACTTTTTTGGGTGGGTTCGGTTGTTAGCTACCTAAATAAAACGCTAACGATGGAAGGAGGAAAACTACTGTTAAATTTTGGGGGGATAAAATTGAGGCGAAAAGTTTGGCATTGGGCATAAGTTAAATTTGTTTTATTTATAAATAAGCGCTTCAAAGAAGACGCTCTGTAAAAGCTCTGTCCTGCTTTTCTTTCAACCCAGGAAATGCGATCCGCTTCTCAAAGCCTGCCTCCCTAAATTAATCCTCCACGGCAGGCAGACATTTCATGGGTATACTGCAGCCCCTTAATGCAGGGGGGCTCCAAACTTGGCGACTTTTAAGACTTGTGGACTTCAACTCCCAGAATTCCCCAACCAGCATGGCTGCCTGAGGAAGTCTGGGAGTTGAAGTCCACAAGTTTTAAAAGTTGATAAATTTGGAGAGACCTGCCCCTAATATACCGGTAACCTTTATTACTCTTCCACGACGAGTGCTCTATTTCTTGAATTTCTGGCCCTTACGCAGCCTTTAAAAGAGCAGGAATGTGGGCTCCTCGAAAAGTCAATAGTCTGATTTCTTTTAAGGGACTGTAATTCTGCATTAAATAAATCTTTTAATCCTGCCTGCTGTTTGATTGTTTTTATATATCAGTTAAATCGTTGCCCTCACCTGAGTGAAAAACAGCAAAAATCCGACTACAGGAATTTAAATCAATTGAACTTTCGCTATGCCGTTTCCCCTTCTGTCCATGTGTGTGAGTTAATGCTCTTCTCGCCGTTCAGGGATATAGTTCTTGTGTTAGAGATTCCCATAAATGAATAGAGACTGTCCGTATCTGAAATTAATACATATATACATCTCTCTCTGCTTCTTTCATACAGCTTCCTGTACAACGTTTTAAAACGATTCTCACTTCTCTACAGAACTAGCCTTTCTAAATGTTGACAGCTTTAAGATATTTAATTTTTAACTCCCAGAATTCACCAGTTGGCCAACAACAATGTGAACTATTTGATCCATTCCCTGCCGGGGTGTAGATTTGTCATTCTTCTTGCATAGTTCTTACCATCAAAGAGAAAGAATTAAAGCAGCATTACTGAGAAAACAAGCAACAATCTACAGTTGCCAGGTTTCTGCCAAGCTTTAGATCAAACATTGTTGAAGTTACAACTCCCCTAAAGCTCAGTAAAACTTGCTTCTGATGAAATGGGTATGTAAATGGATACCTGGCCTTGGCTGTTGCTCTTGTGCAAGTTTAGCAAATTCAATGGCTATCTTACCTGTTCTAAAAGGGGAGAGTTAATGCATCACATAACGTTCAAGCATCACTGAGGCAAATATATGTGTTAACTCTTGTAAGTAGACAGAATTTCAAACTTGCTGGGATCCAGAAGATTCATGCTGCATTCTTGTGTCATTCCGATAGCCTTCTCTCCTCCCTCTCTCACATTTTTAGCTTTCAGAACTATAGAACTTCAGCCATTGATTTAACAAAGTGGAACTCTCTTTGCTGGATTTTAGAGATGTGCGTTTAAAAAGAAAATATAATAATGTATGTATAACCAATTATGACCAAGAAGGACTGGTGGGAATAGTGCCCTTTTTAGGGCATTCTATTGCTTTAAAAGGAATATTATACCTCCTTTGAAAATAGAATGCATTTTAACTAGAGCAGCATTTAGGATTGCACAATTGGTTTCCTAAGGTCATGTAAGTTCACTGTTAATGCTGAATCCTGATCTACACTAACCATGTATTTCTCAAAATATTTATATTATTTATATGATCAAGCAGATCATGCAAATTAGTCAAATGAGATAAATTGACAGTTGGTTTTAAACATGTTAGTGATATTGACACAGTTGACTTTAACATTTTAATGATATAAAACTACTCAGAAGCTACAACTGGTGCAAAGATAGCAGTCATACAGCAGTGGAGGACTACTGGCTGGCTTCTAGTGCGGGTCATTACTTATAAAGCTTATAAATGGCATGCCACTGGAATATATCAGGAACTACTTTATGAAGTGGGATTCTGCTGATTCCCCAGTTTAAACTGTAGGAAGTTAAAACCCACCGCTCTCCTAGAAAAATGAAATATCCTGGGAAATATTAAAAAGGCAGAATATTATATTTCCCTGGGTGTGAAAAAGAGAAACATGTTTTAAAGACAAAGTAGCTTCCTGCTGCTTCCTGTCCCTCCCCACTTTGCAAATGAGCCATTAAAGCCTGAGCTAGTCTACTCTACATAACAAAGGTAGGATTAGCCTTGCACAGAAACTCCCCACAAGGCACCTGGGGAAATTATATCTGCCAGCAAGGCAACCAAACCTGGACTCAAATCACAGCCTACAGAGTTGCCCCTGCATGGCCCCATGGGAGTCTGACAACCAATCAGAATACAAGATCAAGATCAAAGGCCAGAGAGGGCATAAAACCAGGGACTTTCAGCATCTCAGTCTCTTTCTTCACCCAACATCTTGAAGCATGTGATTCCCCTTTCCTGTTCAGGAGCTCCAGCCATATGGATCCTGTCCACCATTAAATCATCTTTCCAAGCAGCCTCCATGTTTCCAGTGTCTTTCCCCCCACTTTGAACTGAACCCAGAAGGACATTTCTTCCAACAAAATATTGCATGAAAAGTGGTTAGACTCCGCTTTCTTTATAGAGAGCCCTGCATTGTAGAAGTTGCTGCTTCTTGAGACGTGTTTGACCCTGACTCTCTCTAAAGTTTTGGGTGAGTGTGGACAGCAATCTGACTTAGTCTTGATATTTATTGTTGAGATTGTTACATTCTTATCTGATTGTAGTACTCTTAAAACATAATTTTTGTGATGGGGCAATTTACAAATATTGTGAATAAAGATACCAGTGACATAAACTTAGATTTAACAGACATTTGGGTGTTGCAGGCCTTCTGGCTCCCCTAATAGTTTTGTATATTATGATTTTACTATATTTTCACCCATATATTATGCAATTTATCTGGCTGGAATCCTCTGCCAAATAGGTCCATGGTGTGATCCAAAATGTTACCATTCTGTGATAGGATCCATCTTTGCATTGTATTTTCCAGCTCCTGAGAATGGCTTTTAACAGGAGCAGGAGTAATACGAAATTTCATTTTACAATGAAATTGTAAAATGTGTGCTTGTGATTCATAAGAACAACTTACATAATCTATTGTATATGTTATGTTGTCATGACATAGAAGACATCTTTCCAGATTATGGATTATTCAAACCAAAGGTTCTTTGAGTTCAGTAGGATTTGCTTGAGGTATAGGACGGATATAGGTGTTAGGGATTTATTTATTACATCTATATGCTGCTGATTTTACTGTCAAGCAACTCTGTGTGGCTTTATAGTCCAAATTTGATTTACAGTGCAAATCTGCATATACCTAAAAAAAGTCCCTGAAGTTAGAATAATTTTTAGTAACCTAGAGTTTTACCTTAATTAAATTGATTTACTGACAGTAAAAACATTTTAGAAGCACATTATTTAAATAGCCAGAATTTGGGAAGTTTTCTGATTATGAAAATCTGACACAAGTATTTACACAATTTATTAGAAATAAAACATACACTAGAAAAGGATGCAATGTATCTAGTCATTTGCTGCCAAGGTGTGGAAAAACCAGATTTCTTCATGTGTAGCAATTATAGTGCAGAGTGCATTGCAATTTACTGACCATCATTCAAAACAACAGATAGTTTGGGATTGTGAATCAAGTACCTTATTGCAGAACAAAAGGATATTTTCTTTGAAAAAATGAATTAGAAGAAAAGCTAAAGAAAAATATAAACTCTGTCATATAAAAAATCAGTCCTCTTTCCAATTCTCCCGCCCCTGAATTCACCCACTGGTGTTCATTTACTTCCATAGCACAGCCCTGAACATCCTTCAGAGTCAGTGGTTCTGCTGAGACAGTCAGCTGCACATAATTCACCATTCAATTTGCACTAAGCATAACTCTGTCCCTAATTAAGAAAAAAAGCACCTGTTGTTTTTCAGGAATATACAAACATTACCACAGTTGTCTGTGCTCATTACAAAAAAACATTGTTAAAGCTTACAGCGCAGCATATTATTTACAAATCTCTACCAAGTACATTATTTTTGCTGGCACACTGTTAAAATTCAATTTGCAGTCACTTAAACATGTGAGCAGCTCATTTTGTGCCCTCCAGCACTAGCATCGGAAGAGCTGCAAGTGATGTTCTGTGCCCAGTGTCATAAATAGTCTTTCAATCCACATCTCACAGGAAAGGGATTAATTCTTCTTATGAAGAAACTTCATTTTATTTCCTAAAATGGCAAAATGGAAAAGGCTCCCATTATTATACGCATCAAAAATCAAACACATTTTTTAAAAAGTTACAGTTCCCAATGGGCAATCAGGTTCTAGCTGGTTAGTAAAAATAGATACTCCATTTTAAGGATTCTTGTTTGTGTTATTTAGACTATATAATTCATTCTTAATAAAGAGCTTTTCTTTTAAACCCACCCATGTGGGTATACTGAGGAAGCCTCTAAAGCAGAATATACTTCATATAAGGACTTTTGCCTCTTTGTGTCATATGCATTACAAATCCAGTCTCCCAAATACAAATATTTCAAAGGCAAATTCCTTACCAAGGCCTCGTAGAAATTTATTTACTCCGCTTTGTTCAGTGTCTGGAAGTTCTTCCAAATACTGTTCAACCCTCTGTTCAAAAAGACCTGCAGAAAGAAGATCAAAGAGAAAGCGCTGGGTTTTGTCCAAGAAAAAGGAGGATCAACTCT